ATGGCTGGAATAATACACGCAGTCAAAATTACCCCTTCCGTTCATGGTCTCTGAAGGGAGAAAAAAATGAGAGAGAATGGATAAAAAAAGGGATACAAAAGTGAAAAAGGTACAAACAAAGCCCATCGCTTTCGGGACTGGTCGTTTCTTACTGCTCCCGGGGTGTCTATGATTTAATTCATCACACTGCCACTAGGAAGAACGAGTAGCATAGTATAATATAATATAATATAATATAATATAATATAATGTAATATAATAAAATATAATATAATATAATATACAACACTGGCAATATATGTTATAGAGTAACATCCTTTATTAAAGATGTTAGAATATAGTGAGGTTCTTATAATTGTTTTCTTTTGTACATCGTTTCGTCTACTACGTCCAGCGATCTAGACCTAGTCGTAGGTATAGGTATATTGTAGGTATTACATAATATTGTAGATAAACGAAGTCCAGCAACTTGTAAGTATAAAATACTATATTTATTTTATTTGTTTTTCCTCATAGCTATTATAGCTACCACTTTCCAAATACAAAATATTCGCCTATCAAGACCCATGAAATTTCACATATTGATATAATGGTATCAGGAATTAGGAATTCGTTCCACGTTCACCTTTTAACGTACGTTAGTAAAAATATATACTCTCTATGAACGCAATATCTACGTAGTGTATATATATATATATATATATATGTATATGTATATGTAAACCTGTCTAACAAAGACGAAAGTATGGCACCACCTTAAACGTTACTTAAGCACTTACAAAAGCAATACCCTTGTTGGCACTTCAAAGCGAGTACTGTTAATTATATTAGTTTAATTTAATGTTGCTCTCGACCCAAAGAGGGATTTTCTCGACCTTCTTGTTGCTCCAAAGGTCTTTATGACTGTAAATACTCAGATAAAACAAGCCAAATTCACAATGGGTTGAGTAATTAAATATCGCATAGTACCTTATACATATATCTATTTGAGAGTAAAATTTGTACAGTTTAGTTACGTTGTGTCAAGAATTTTAAAAGAAAATGATGTTCCATAATGTTCCAGAAGAATAACGAAAGTGTCGGTTAAATAATACATTCGATTGGCTTTAATCGTTGGGCAAGCGTTTATCGTCCTAATACGATATTTATGGAATGAACAAAATTATTTGACGCGCGTGAGTTGAATTAATATCTACACAAGGAAGCTATTGAGCCCAAAAAGATTTGTTGATTCTCTTTTTATCCTTTCGACCTAATCTCAGTAATGTAATGTTTCTCATTTATATTCTAGGGAATTCTGCGTAAATCTGCAGACCCTTCGCCGAATTGCAAATGGCTATCTGAATAAAATAAAATAAAGGACTTCTCGGTCAGCAGGCCTCTAGTATCACTATCCAAAATTCAATTTATGTTTTCCATGGAGATAACGGACACGATAGAGATGACGATCGATATTGAGGTCCAGTTATGTGTCTTGATATTGTATTGGGGTATGTTGGGACAGCATCAGAACTGTTCTCTTATTGACAAACCCATGTGTGTACTATGTACATGGACAAACATGTACACAATCAATCCCATATTTATGGATGCACGGTATACATAATATACATAAAGACATAGGTACTATGTTGAAATACTTGAATACTGATAGATTTATTATATGAGTGGGGGGGTTTATCAAACAAAATTGTAAACCAGACAGACCGTGTAGACCGGAGAATTGTTTTAATTGTTCATAGTTAATGTTGCTTCATGCTTCTAAAAGTAGATTCAGTTAAAGAATTTTTTTTTTTTTTTTCAGTGAAATCATTATTCTTCTCCCGTAGATCTGTAAACGTGAATCCGTTATATTCCTGGTAAAGAATATTCAGCTGGATTATTTAATGAGGAATTGGTCGTACATAATGAACTTAGTAGAGCGTACTTGTACTGCTCTAAATGATTTTCTGCAATTCATGAATATTCTACACATATTCTGTAAGACGTTTCTTTTTTATGGTCATTTCATATTACTTTGCTCTTATGTATGTAAGTCAATATTATACAGGGTGAACCACGAATCGTGATCAGTAGAGATTACTTTGTTATTAGCAGTCCGATCGAAAATGTTTTTATCAGTTTTTGCATGGTTTTAAGAGAGCTTTAACGTGATAGTGAAAAATTACTGGTCAACTCTTTTTTCAAAATGTTTTTTCAAGGTTACCTTGAATTTTTAGCAACTGAACATATAATTTTTTTACGACTGTCTGTTAGAGGATTTCAAGACGAATTCTGCACACGTAAGGACATGACATTTTTCTCATCCGGTTCGAAAGAAAATTAAAAAACTAAATACTCCTTATCACAAGGAGATTCACAGTTACGTCGTTATACGCATCCATTCTGTCGTCTTCAGTCGCCATCAGTGTAGAGGAGAGGCCATAAAGAATGAAAAACAATCTTTTGTTCACCGTCTACGCGAGTGCATTGCAGCTCGTGGACACCATTTTGAACATCGCTACAATTAAGATTCGTAAATTTTGACTTGTCAACAACATTGGTTGCGTAAAGTTGCAAAGTTTTTTAATTTTCTTTCGAAACAGATGAAAAAAATGTCATGTCCTTACATGTGCCGGATTCGTCTTGAAATCCTCTAACAGACAGGCGTAAAAAAATTATATGTTCGATTGCAAAAAATTCAAGGTA